TTTTTTTATTATTGTTTCATATTCATTATCTTTATTTTCTTTATATTTTCGATACATAACACTAGAAAAAATAAATTATAAAATTACATAAATATATATATATAGGTTTTTATTTTATTACCTAGCATCAACATTTGCAGGTGATGAACAATTTGGCTCATTCAATAGACTTATTATTGACATTAAAATTGTTCGAACATTTTGTGTAGGATTCCACCGTTCACTTGGATGTTCACCTGATTGAGGATCTTCAGTTGGAGGATGAAGAATTGATATACATACTTCACCATTTCTTCAATTAAAAAAGAAACAAATTATATTTATTATGAATTCTTTAAAAACTTACTCGTAAATATTTGGATGCCACATTTTTGTAAGAAATCGAACCTATTAATAAATAAATAATTCATTTTTTTAGGTAATAAAGATAAGAATTTGACCTTAAACTCTAGGGTTCCGTTTGACTACAAAATACGCTCTGTAGGATATGCATGAACAATTACAAAGATTCTACTAATATTTTTAATTAGAAAAAAAATTTATTTTCAAGAGTATACAATATAAACTTTTGACTTGACATTTCAATCTTACAGAGATTAATTGAACGTGCTTTTTTTAGTGAAAAGCACGTTTATATTATTCTTTCAAACTTTCTAATAATTATTACATTTATCTTCAAAAGCAATACTCCTTTATAGAGTATTAACACAATTAATATAAGACAGTTAGCGACGCCTGCTTATCAATATAGAATTTCATCATACATTCTATTTTCTTGAAATAATATGTTAGACCTACTGATCATGGAGATGCTGAAGATATCCGGACCTTTCCAAATTAAAAAAAAACTATCTAATTTTTAAAATTCTAATACAATCACATTCTACCAATCTAATCTCGTAGAAAATGCATAGTATAAGTATGTTCTATTTTATATGTATTCAAAGGTCATAAACATGGAGTTTGAGACCCCTACCAATCGAAAATCATGCAAGGTGTTATTCTAAGTACAGGCAAATAGATGATCTGGTATAATAATCTTAGGACATCTTGACCTCTACAAATGCACTTATGAAATACTTGCGTGAACAATAAAAAATCGTTAGTACGAAAGAATTTAACTAATACCATCATGAAAAATAACGAGATTTATTCTATAAAAACGTTCAAAAATTCTTCTCTAACTAATTAAAAATAATTATTTTTTTTTTTCATTAATTTTAATATACTTTTGGTGGAGCAAATGGATAGGTTGTTGGAAATTCCATATCAGCTTTAAAATAACCGCCTTCATATAAAGTATCTGGTGGACCAAATATTCCCACTAAAATAAAAACAAAAAATTTTAAATATTAAATAATCTTTTTTTTATTACCATGCCATTTATACAGATTTGAATCATCATCAAGTTTAACAGTAAAACCTTCTACTGGTTCTTTTTGTAATTTTGCATATTCAAGTTGAAGTGCTTTTATTGATGGTGAATTTGATGATCTTGATGATGTATAATGAGATGTTGATGTTGTTAAACCAGATGTTTGTCTAGTTTGACTCATGATTATTATTAGCTTTTTTTTTTTATTGAAATTATTTAGAAATATAAAATCATCACCAAATTTGAACAAATCAAATAAATGACCCACAACGATACGACGAAGAACAAGAAATAAACACAAATCGGACGGACGAACACAATTAGGTAGAGGATAATTAACCAATCATAAAAATATTTAACATAGATGTCATTTTTAAGATATTCTTTGTTTTTGTAAAAAAATTCTTTGGTTTTATCTTTTCATTTTGAAATCAAAACAAAATAAAATAATGTTCTCCTTTGACGATAATTTACCATTAAAAATTATTGCATGGTTTTTACAATTTCCTTTTTATATTTTTTGGTTTATTTTAAAATATTTTATAAATAAAGATAAAAATGAGTCAAATATTGTTCAAGCACCACAATATCCAAAAACTATTGTTGTAACAGGAGCTTCACAAGGTTTGTTTAATTAGATGTAATTGTTAGAATATGTTTATATATATATATATGCAGGTATTGGTGAAAGTCTTGTTGAATATTATTATAAAAATTGTCCATCATGTGAAGTAATTATTATGATTAGTCGAAGTACGGAAAAACTTGAAAAAGTAAAAAATCGATTAAATTCAAATAATCAAAGGAAATTAATTATTTATCAATGTGATGTAACTGATTCGGAAGAAATGAAACGTATTTATCTTGATATACATCGAACATATGGTCAGATTGATATACTTTTTGCTAATGCTGGTGTTTCATTTCGACAATTATCATTGACAAATACATTTGATAAAGCAGTTCGAGATGTATTCAATATTAATATCAATGGAGTTATTAATAGTATTATGCCAGTCATTGAATTAAAAAATGTTAAACAAATAGCTATTGTATCATCTCAAGCAGCATATGCACCATTCATGTCACCTTTTTATGGTACTACAAAACAATGTGTTCTTTCATTAGGTCGTGATCTTCGACGAATATTAGCGAAAGATAATATAGTTGTTAATGTTATTTCACCAGGACCTGTTCATACACCAATGCTTGATGGTGTTATTGCAACAACAACTAAACATGGTGTTTCAGCAGAAAAAGCTGCTGAAATCATTTACGATGGTCTTCGTCGAAATCAAGCTGAAATTGTCTTTCCTGCAGTTACTGGTGTTTTTCAATATATTTTAAGTTTTTTACCATTATGTATTGCTCAACCTATTGCAATGTATCAATTTCGCTTGAAATAAACATAACGAATAAAAAGAAAAAATAGATTCATTCCATACAAAAAAAAGTGATCTGTATTTATTATGTTTTATGTACATAGGATCATAGCAAAAAAAAGAAAACAGACAAATAAAGACACACAAAATTCTGACTAGTATCAAATATATGTGTGTGTATATATATATATATAAGAAAAAAAAAGAAAAATATCATTTTAAGAGATCCAATTTTGATTTTTTTTCCCTTTAGATCATACAGATCTATTTGACAGAAACTACATAACTAATTTAAGAAATCTATTCATTAAGCCAAGGAAATGCTTCAATTATATCTTTACGACGTTCGCCATAATCATAAAAAAGTTCTTCATCTATTTCAATATCACGTAAAGCAACCAATACAAGACGTGGTTGATCTCGTATAACAAAAACTTTTGGTTGGCAATTACTATTCTTTCGACTATGATTTATAAGACGACCTAAAATGAGAAAAAAAGAAAAGTTAGTTTTTAAATAATCTTATTACTAACCCAGTCGATTTGTTTCTTCAGTTGCATCAACACAAAAAACTTTTTCTCCCCATTTAAAATAATACATATAACAGCCAATTTTATGATTTCTTCCATATAAATTTTCTCGATGTTTTGCTTCAATTTGTGTTAATAATTCACCTGCATATTCAACAATATAATCATTACGAAAAAATTTTCTTGTTGTATATACTCCACGTCCTTTTAATGTTCCAGTATCACGTGCTTCAATACCATCTTCACATTGACTTTCAATAAATGAATCAAATGATGTTGCAGATTTATATTTTGTTATACCTATACGTTTACTTCGACGTATATTTGATACAATTTCTTCATTTAAAAGTTTTTTTGCTAATATCAAAGATTTTTCACTAGAAAAATAATTTTGAAATAAAAGATAAAATATTTTATTCTATTACTTATCACTTGTAGCTGCTGGTAGAATATCATTTTCCGGTATAGTAATATCAGGTGCAAATAAAAATTGGCCTTTCAATAGTCCTTTTTTTAATCGATCAGGTTTTACATTAGCAGCTGATTGAAACCGTTTCGCTGGACGGACGGGTATCATCTCTAGAAAAAAACAAAATGAAAAATAAATCTAGATACAGTTGATATGCCAATTAGTTAAGTAAATATTGATATTGACGTTTTTTTATTTACATAAAAATGTTCGATCATAGTTAAGTATGCATCGAAGAAGGTCTTTTTTGACACAAAGAAACATTTTGTCCAATTGGTTCAATTTTAACCATTGAATAATTGTTCAGTAGAGGTCGACTGATGACACTGAACATCGATTTACAACTTGACATCAATGTATTCGAAATAGATAATAAAAAATAGTCAAATCAATAATTTGATGTTATTTTAGAAATTAGTTCACAAAAAAATAGTTACGAAATTTTTGTTGATACAGTCGTCTTGTGTTATCAATGTACATTTGATATTTCTATAGTGTCTTCAGCGATCTTCCTAAATACTTATATATTTTTTTAATTTTTTGTCGTTATTCTTTTATTTAAAAGTATAACAATAATAGAATCGTATTTTATATAGAATATTCATCTTTATCAAATGTCTACTTATAGTCTAGAAAAATAAAGAATAAGTTCATCCGATTTGATTTTAATAATTTGTTAAAAATAAAAATAAATGTTTAAGTACATTTTTCTCATCTGATTATTGTTAATCTTCATCATTTTATTATTTTCATTTATTTGATTGCTTGTTCAAACTTGATCCACCTCTTACACGTACATACATCTATTTAGAAATTAAAAAACAGCATGCTAAATAATAGTCATTGTTTCGTTGCATCAATAATCAAAATATATATAAGTAGATTGCTTTTGGTGCCATACGGTTCCTCTCACATAATAATTAGTATGTGAGAGAGACGACGACGACGACAACGACAACGACGTTTTTTTTGTCTAACTTGCCCACCCCTCATCAACATTCGGTTTTCACACATTTATCTAATAGGATTGAAACATGCAAGAATGCATGCATGCTTTTCTTCATCGTTTAGTCATATGGAAAATATATATTGAAACTATAAAAAAAAAGAAACTTTTCTTCTTCTTTTTTTTTTCTTTCTCTTAAATTTTAGTCATTTGTCATATGTCTTCATTAATATTCAATCTATTCTCGATAAGTAAATGATGTGCCCATTGATGATGAGTAAACTAGTAGTAATTATCATCCATTAGAGAGTCGATAGATTTCAATCGGACAGGAAAAAAGAACGACTTAACAATCATTATATTGTACTCTGATTGAAAGTATGCCTTGAGGCAAATGCATGGACAAGGAGTCACTTGTCATTCGGTCGCCAGAGAGAAAATAGGTAATGGCATTCATCTCATCCACTCACTCATTGCTCTTTTCTACCTACTGAACAACAGATTAGTGTTATGTTCAACTTTCTCTTGAATATATCATAAGCCACATTTTATGATTGTCAATGTCACAAAGGCATACAGATGGTTAATCATATTGAAATATGATCTCTGTTCAATGTTATTTCTATTATTATTTTTGTTTATTAATACAGAGACATATCTTTTTATCTTTACTTAAAGGCAGAAAAAAGGATCAGCAGGATTCCAAAAAAAACAAAAGTAATTGAGACAACAGGTTGCATCTCTACTCTCTATCTCTTAACATCGTCTCTATTTGATTAAATCAATCTTTACTTTTTCTTTTTGTTTATAGATAAGAAAGTGAAAAGAAACGTTAAGACGTGTTAATGGAAGTTGATGATGATGATGATGATGATGATCAGAGTACCCTGAAGCTTTCGAACTACTAGCACTTCTCTCGAACACACGTCGAATACAATGTTCGATGACGTTTACCCTGAAGGCAACAAGATGAAAGCTTTTCTTTTTTTAGGTCTGTCTTTCTATTCAGATGTAAAGGCGGAGCCGCCATAATATCGCGCTCATTTTGCAGATTCAAAATATTCGCTCGAATAAATCAAATACAAACAATGATACGGTTGTTTAAATATATAAACATTTTTTCGATAACTAAAGATGCTGTCAATTAATTATTTGCTCTTTTTTCATCAACAGCGATCTAGAGAGAAAAAAAGAAAAGAGAAGAAAAGGAATGTCCAGCATTCTTTTTTTTTTGTTTCATTTGTTAATGTTTTTTTTCTTCTTCTATATACAAGGTGCAAAACTAACATTGACCATATGTCATTTAATGCGACTATCAGTGAAGAAAGAGAACTTTTAAGAGAGTATATACTTTGTTTATATGTACTCTTGTCTAAATGAAATAATTGCTTTTCGATTCTTATTCAAAGATAATAGCTCTTCGTCTATCTTAATACTATATATTGAACTAATCGCACACCCCACAATCTCTATGTATATGTATATATATAAAAGTTAAAATCCATTTGAAGGATAAACATAGTTGTCTCTTGTCAATTTGACCTCAATCATCAACTTCTTCCATATTGAACGTGATAGTTAATGTATGACAAAAGAAAAGAAAAATCTTTCTTCTTTTTTTTCTATTTCTTTTATTCATATTCATCGCTTGGTTGCCTGCTTAGAAGAAAAAAAAAGTGTTTATCTATGTATGCTCTTTCGAGCGATCTACCAATAAGAAAATGGTCCGCTCAACCAACAGGAAACGGGAAAAGAAGAATAATAATAATAACCACTCTCCTCCCCTTTAGAATGTCTGCAAGCTAGAGGAGAAGAAGAAGAAGACGAAGAAAAAAAAAAATCTTCTTTTCCCTTTTTCCATTCTTTGCTTTTCTATTATGCAAAAAAGAAACTAGCATACATTCATAAATATAGATCTACCTTATCGGTGATTCATATATTAAAAGAGAACAGATTTTTACTTATACTCTGTACTTTTCCATAGATAATCAACATAATGAAGAATAGTCTTAAATTATCTCGTTATATACCACATCATTATCAAGATAATATTTACAATGATTATCCAGGTAAAACATAATAATAATACGAAGAAGAAGAAAAAGAGAGAGAAATAGAAAAAAAACATAATTTGATTTTTTTTCTCTTCTTTAGACACAAAATATCCATCAATATGTGCTGGGTGTAACTGTCAAATATATGATCAATATTTATTAAAAGTTGCACCTGATCTTGAATGGCATATTCAATGTTTAAAATGTTATGAATGTGGACAATATTTAGATGAAACTACGACATGTTTTGTTCTTGATGGAAAAACTTTTTGCAAATTAGATTATATACGGTAAGTTACATTTACTGTCATAAACTGCAAATGAATTATTTACTTGACCGATTTGACTTTCTATATTGGTTCGGTTGAACAGCTTGCATTCGAATGAATAACAAAGACAAAGCAATACTGACTGCATGCAGAGATTTCACTTAGCAGAATTAATTCTATTGATAAACAGGCAATTATATTCATGCGTTTTTTTCTTCTTCTTTCGTTTCAATAGATTATTTGTATCTAAATGTGCCAAATGTCATCAAACATTTTCAAAAAATGATTTATTTATTCGTACAACATTTTATCGAAGATTTCATACAGATTGTTTTCGTTGTGATCATTGTGATCGTTTGCTTACATCAGGTGATGAATATTATATACATAGACAAAATGAAATCTTATGTCGACAACATTTTCAACAATTAGCATTAAATGAAACTAGTAGTACAGAATCGAAATCTTCATGCTCAGATTCAATTGGAGGACCAACAGCAGGTAAGAAAACGTATGCCGTGCATACACACTTACATCCGTCGCGGATGTGACTATGGCGTGGAGGAAGGAATCGACGGCATGCTTTCCATGACGGAAGTCAGATCAGTCTGGGGTGCTCTCTTTTCACGCTATATACTAAGTTTACTAATCAGTCCAATACCGTTTTTTCTTTCTTTCAAACCGGATACAGTCAATAAATGCATGTGTTCATTGATAAGAGATATTTGCAATCTTTTAGATCAGAAAGCGAGGAAGAAGAAGAAGAGAATAATCAAATTTTATTTTTTTTTGAAATCAATCGTTTTTGATAACATTGTTATAGTCATGACTGTATGTTTATCTATTGGGAATTTAAGTCAAAATGAATTCGAATACTTTCGCTTCATTTAATAAACATATAGAATTGAGTTCAATTAGATAGACAGATCATAGCGCTTAGAAGAAAAATTAAATTTATCATGATTAAAATTAGATCTGTTCTCTTATTTAGCTATAAATAATAATATTCCATTACGTCCACCACCAACTTCATCATCATCATCTGCAGCATCAAGTTCATCAAATCATGTAACAGTAGGATCTTGTGGTTCTAAATCAACTAATAATGGAAATAATATTCGGAAAGATAAAACAACACGTATGCGTACTGTACTAAATGAAAAACAATTGTTGACATTACGTACATGCTATAGCGCAAATCCGAGACCGGATGCACTTATGAAAGAACAACTTGTTGAGATGACACAATTATCACCACGTGTTATACGTGTTTGGTTTCAAAATAAACGTATGGCAAGAAGAAAAAAAATGAAAATTTCAATAATTTTAATTTTAATTTTATTTTTTTATTATAGGATGCAAAGATAAAAAGAAAAGTATATTAGCAAAACAAACTCAAGAACAACAAAAAGTTTTAACAAGTCTTAATCATGGTATACCATTAGTTGCTTCATCACCTATACCAAATGATATGAATATTGGTTTACCACCATCATCACTTGTTGAAGTACAATATCATCCAGGTGGTCCATGGAAGACTTATAATGAAACATATCCTTCATATTCAAATGATTATAATTCTCATCATCAACATCCACATCAACATCATATACAACGTCAACAACAACAACGTCAAAATTTTCATGATAATGTACTAAGTGGTTTTCAATCAGAAGATGATAGCAATTGTTTTGATGCATCACAATATAGTGAAGAACGTAGTGACAATAGTTGTGATGGAAGTGCGACTGGTCAACTGACTCTCTTGTAATTTTTCGTTTTCTTCTCTCTCTCTTTTTCGCTTCTAATAAAATCAACAATAACATTTGACTTGAAAGTCTTACATCACATTTGTTATTTTACTCAGCTTGAAATATACATATGTAACAAGAAAAATAATAATAATAATAATAATCAATTATTATATTAGATCATGTGTCAATAGACACACACCTTATCTATTATATTTATATAGATGTGTCTATGTGTCCATCTTCATTGTCACCATTCGATCCATTAACACATCGAATTAAAAACACTACCTTGATCAACAACATTAAGTGTTGATAGAGATGCAAACTTTTTTTTTTCGTCTTATATCACACTTAAAATGTGGCATAGATCAAAGAATAGTCTATTTAAAGCAGAAAATTGAAAAATAAAACATATCGAAACAATATGGAAACGTTTAATATATGCCGACAAAGTCATTCAATAAACATCCATAGGAACTTTGATTGATGTTATTATACTAATATGTCGGCATTTATTCTATGACATTTTCAGCAAGAAAAAAAAAAAATTTTTTTTTTATTCATTTACGAATTAAAAATAGATAATATACATCGTTGAATTAGTTTGTTTACACCTTTTTGTATTTATATGACTTAGTTACCTACTGAGCAAATGTATAGATTAGACTTTTTTTTGTACCATATTAACAGATGTCTGTTTATTCTGTTTACATTCACAGCTCTAACAACGAATGACTGCTGACTATTGGATACATATTTATTCTTACTTATCGATATACGTATGTTTATCTTTGACGAGACTAACTTGTTTGACAAAAAAAATATGAAAACTTTTAAAATATTAGTGCATTTAAAGAGAGACAGACTTGACATATTCATTTTTGTTTTTTTTAAAATCCATTATCAACATAAATGTGTATGTATTGCTTAACCAAATAAGGTTTCCTTTACACATGCATAGAAGACTTATCAATAACAAAAACATTCAGATAAAACAGTATAATAAACATGATTATTATATGTTCTTTCATGAAAAATCATGGATTATTTACATTAGAAGTTGATAAGAAAATATATATTAATCTATTAGGAAACAACTTGAATTAATTAGAAGAATAATGTATATCATAACAAAATGAAATATTCTTCTATAATTGATTCCAGTAATCTATTGTATTCAAATAGTACATTCAAGATGTATTTATGTTTTTCAGAAGCTATAAATACTTTTTCTGTCACATAAATCTAAAGATAAACTGAAAGATAGTACATAATTATATCAGTAATTTCTTACAACAACAACATACTACCACGACAGTAACAGAAGACCAATGTCATGTTCTGTTGTTTGTTATCCTTGTATTGTCATACTATAATATCAATAAAACCTTTGCTTCCAAAAAATAATTTTATAGGAACATCTTACTATATAAGTACATTAACCTATCAAATTTTTAATTTATTTAAGAATTTCTCGAGTATTCTTAACAATAATATAATTAAATAGTGAAAGTTGATATAGAATCTCATATGGTAGAATTATTGAAGAAAATCATATTTTTTAAAATAACATTTGATTCCACTTTTATTTTTATATATAATTGTCATTTAGAAAAAATATTTTAAAAAAGAATTATGGCATTAAGTGATACGCTGAATCTTATTCAACAAGAAATTATTCGTTATGCTTATTCATTATGTCTTATTTTTGGTATTACTGGATGTTCTCTCAATATTTTACTTTTATCAAGACAACAATTTCGCACAGTATCCTGTAGTATATGTAAGATATATTGAATCATACGAATATAACTAATACACGTTTGTTTATTTATATAGATTTTCGTACAGCATCCGTAGCAATGATCATTGATTTATGTTTCGGTACTATACCGTATATATGTTCACTCATTAATATTGATCCAACTACGACTCTAGTCTGGTTTTGTAAAATGCGTATATACATACTTCAATCTAATGCGATGATATCTCGATGGTCATTAGCAATCGCTTGTTTTGATCGCTATGCACTTTCATCCGTCAGTGTACATGTACGAAATTTTGCCAGAGTTCATATCGCTCATCGTATTATTGCAATAATAATATGTATCTGGTTAATATTACCTATACATGCACCTGTCTTTTTTAATATAACTATGGGTCGCTGCGGTATTTATAATAACAGAGTTGCTTCGTTTTATCATACAATATTTACAACACTTTTTGGTTGTATTCTACCTGTTTTAATTATGATTGTTTGTGCCATTCTTCTTTATTATAATCTTATTCTTAAACAACGACGACGTTTAATTTTTATCTATCAACAAACAAAAAATCGAAATGAAATCCTACGTGGACAACAAAAACGTGATCAGCAAATGTTTCTCATGTTACTTATTCAAATTTTTGTCTATCTGATATGCATAGTTCCATTAATGATTACATACCTATATATTGCTATAACAATTGAAACTAATAAATCAGCCGATCGGATAGCCATTGAAAAATTTACTGCTTTCATAGCTGAATCATTATTATATTTCTTTTGTGCTTCATCATTCTATTTATATACAATGGTATCAAAATTATTTCGTAACGAATTAAAACGTTTATTATACTTAGTATTTATGCGTAACAAAAAAAAAGAATATTCATCGTATAGCAGCAACAGTAAATAGTATTCCAATGAGAATACCTATATAAACACTTATATGTATTTATTGTATCGTTTTTCTTTTATTCCTATTTTCAATATGAGGATAGATGTCGGTTTTGGTCGATTTGTTGAGAAATATTTATGAAACAAGCTAATGTATGACTCACTAACTATAGTCTATAGTGCATCTAATGTTTTGAAGATTCCTTATTTAAATAGTAAAAGAAAATGTGGTCACATCTTAGAGATAATTCTCAAACATTATTATTTTTAATTCCATCTACCATAGCCATTGCTGGATTATTATGGAGAACAATAAAACGATATCCTTCGATAATTATTATGCAATCAACGAAAGAAAATGATTTTCTCATTAATCAATGTCCATCATTTGCCCAATATCGTCCAACACCTTGGATATTTAGTGGGCATTTAATGACAATATTGGGTGTTTTCTTTCGTCCATTACCTACATTATCGTTTGAACGTATATTACTAAAAGTTGATAATACCGGTGGAACAATTGCAATGGATTGGCATTCAAGACCATATCATCGTCAACCTATTTTATTAATTCTGCATGGACTTACCGGTGGTTCTGACAATGAATATGTTCGTTGGATGATTTTAGCTGCTAGTAAAAAATTTAATTTATGTTGTGTTGTTTCACATGCACGTGGATGTGGTAAATCAAAATTAACAACAGCAAAATCATTTTGTGCTGCAAATACAGATGATGTACGTGCATCAGTAAAATACATTCGTTCTATTATTGGAGAAGAAACTCCAATATTTGCTATTGGTTATTCATTAGGTGCCGGTATTCTAACAAAATATCTCGGTGAAGAAGGAACTCAATGTTCAATACAAGGTGCAATTATCTGTTGTGCAAGTTTTAATATGCATTTATCTACAAGTAATTTAGAACAATGGTTAAATACGCGTGTATATAATCGTAGTTTAACAAATAATTTAATAAGATATTTACAACGACATGAAGAACATTTTATAAAACCAGATTCAAATATAAATTTTGATCTCAGTCATGCTTATCAATCAAAAACAGTACGTGAATTTGATAAACGTGTTATTGTACCAATATTTGGTTTTCGTGATGTTGAACATTATTATACTGAAGCATCATCAAATAAATGGTTAAAATATATACGTATACCAACACTTGTTTTGAGTGCTATAGATGATCCAATATGTCCTATTGATGGTTTACCGGTTGAAGATGTTTTACAAAATCCAT